AACGCCCATCACACTAGCTCAGACACACACAGCGGAGAGAGAGAACGCCCATCACACTAGCTCAGACACACACAGCGGAGAGAGAGAACGCCCATCACACTAGCTCAGACACACACGGCGGAGAGAGAGAACGCCCATCACACTAGCTCAGACACACACAGCGGAGAGAGAGAACGCCCATCACACTAGCTCAGACACACACGGCGGAGAGAGAGATCTGTACTACTACACAATAACTGGATTCTATACTATTCTACTGGATTCTACTCATAGTCCATGCCGCTCTGACATCGCTCGTCCATATATGTACACTACCAGTCAAAAGTTTGGACACATCTACTCTTTCAAGGGTTTTTCTTTATTTTTACTATTTTTTACATTGTAGAATTATAATGAAGACATCAAAAACAATGAAATAACACATATGGAATCATGTAGCCACCCTTTGCCTTGATGACAGCTTTGCACACTCTTGGCATTCTCTCAACCAGCTTCATGAGGTAGTCACCTGGAATGCATTTCAATTAACAGGTGTGCCTTGTTAAAAGTTAATTTGTGTTTTTAATGCATTTGAGCCAATCAATTGTGTTGTGACAAGGTAGGGGGGAGGTATACAGAAGATAGCCCTATTTGGTAAAATACCAAGTCCATATTATGGCAAGAACAGCTCAAATAAGCAAAGAGAAACGACAGTCCATCATTACTTTAAGACATGGTCAGTCAATACAGAAAATGTCAAGAACTTTGAACGTTTCTTCAAGTGCAGTCGTGAGGACTGGCACAGGAATGGAAGACCCAGATTTACCTCTGCTGCAGAGGATAAGTTCATTAGAGTTACCAGCCTCAGAAATTGCAGCCCAAATAAATGCTTCACAGAGTTGAAGTAACAGACACATCTCAACATCAACTGTTCAGAGGGGACTGTTTGAATCAGGCCTTCATGGTCGAATTGCTGCAAAGAAACCACTACTAACGGACACCAATAAGAAGAAGAGACCTGCTTGGGCCAATAAACACAAGCAATGGACATTAGACCGGTGGAAATTTGTCCTTTGGTCTGGAGTCCAAATTTGAGATTTTTGGTTTGTGAGAAGCGGTGTGGGTGAACGGATGATCTCCGCATGTGTATTTCCCACGTAAAGCATAGAGGAGGAGGTGTTATGGTATGGGGGTGCTTTGCTGGTGCCACTGTCTGTGATTTATTTAGAATTCAAGGCACACTTAACCAGCATGGCTACCACAGCATTCTGCAGCGATACGCCATCCCATCTGGTTTGGGCTTAGTGGGACTATCATTTGTTTTTCAACAGGACAATGACCCAACACACCTCCAGGCTGTGTAAGGGCTATTTTACCAAGAAGGAGAGTGATGGAGTGCTGCATCAGATGACCTGGCCTCCACAATCCCCCGACATCAACCCAATTGAGATGGTTTGGGATGAGTCGGACGGCAGAGTGAAGGAAATGCAGCCAACAAGTGCTCAGCATATGTGGGAACTCCTTCAAGACTGTTGGAAAAGCATTACAGGGGAAGCTGGTTGAGAGAATGCCAAGCATGTGCAAAGCTGTCATCAAGGCAAAGGGTGGCTATTTGAAGAATCTCAAATATAAAATGTATTTTGATTTGTTTAACACTTTTTTGGTTACTACTTGATTCCATATGTGTTATTTCATAGTTTTGATGTCTTCACTATTATTCTACAATGTAGAAAATAGTAAAAATAAAGAAAAACCCTTGAAAGAGTAGATGTGTCCAAACGTTTGACTGATACTGTATATATTCTTAATTCTTTCCTTACTTAGGTTTGTGTGTATTGGGTATGTGTTGTGAAATGGTTAGATATTACTTGTTAAATATTACTGCACTGTCGGAGCTAGAAGCACAAGCATTTCGCTACACCTGCTATAACATCTGCTAAACACTTGTATGTGACCAATAAAATTTGATTTGATTCCAACATGACACTCTGCACTTTGTTTGCTGGTCAATCTGACTGTTAGCCTGGCCCGCTGAGAACTTTCCTCTAAGTGTTTGTCTAGTTTGTGTACTTGTCAGGCTACCAGCAGCATATACAGTGGGGAGAACAAGTATTTGATACACTGCCGATTTTGCAGGTTTTCCTACTTACAAAGCATGTAGAGGTCTGTAATTTTTATCATAGGTACACTTCAACTGTGAGAGACGGAATCTAAAACAAAAATCCAGAAAATCACATTGTATGATTTTTAAGTAATTCATTTGCATTTTATTGCATGACATAAGTATTTGATACATCAGAAAAGCAGAACTTAATATTTGGTACAGAATCCTTTGTTTGCAATTACAGAGATCATACGTTTCCTGTAGGTCTTGACCAGGTTTGCACACACTGCAGCAGGGATTTTGGCCCACTCCTCCATACAGACCTTCTCCAGATCCTTCAGGTTTCGGGGCTGTCGCTGGGCAATACGGACTATCAGCTCCCTCCAAAGATGTTCTATTGGGTTCAGGTCTGGAGACTGGCTAGGCCACTCCAGGACCTTGAGATGCTTCTTACGGAGCCACTCCTTAGTTGCCCTGGCTGTGTGTTTCGGGTCGTTGTCATGCTGGAAAACCCAGCCACGACCCATCTTCAATGTTCTTACTGAGGGAAGGAAGTTGTTGGCCAAGATCTCGCGATACATGGCCCCATCCATCCTCCCCTCAATACGGTGTAGTCGTCCTGTCCCCTTTGCAGAAAAGCATCCCCAAAGAATGATGTTTCCACCTCCATGCTTCACGGTTGGGATGGTGTTCTTGGGGTTGTACTCATCCTTCTTCTTCCTCCAGACACGGCGAGTGGAGTTTAGACCAAAAAGCTCTATTTTTGTCTCATCAGACCACATGACCTTCTCCCATTCCTCCTCTGGATCATCCAGATGGTCATTGGCAAACTTCAGACGGGCCTGGACATGCGCTGGCTTGAGCAGGGGGACCTTGCGTGCGCTGCAGGATTTTAATCCATGACGGCGTAGTGTGTTACTAATGGTTTTCTTTGAGACTGTGGTCCCAGCTCTCTTCAGGTCATTGACCTGGTCCTGCCGTGTAGTTCTGGGCTGATCCCTTACCTTCCTCATGATCATTGATGCCCCACAAGGTGAGATCTTGCATGGAGCCCCAGACCGAGGGTGATTGACCGTCATCTTGAACTTCTTCCATTTCCTAATAATTGCGCCAACAGTTGTTGCCTTCTCACCAAGCTGCTTGCCTATTGTCCTGTAGCCCATCCCAGCCTTGTGCAGGTCTACAATTGTATCCCTGATGTCCTTACACAGCTCTCTGGTCTTTGCCATTGTGGAGAGGTTGGAGTCTGTTTGATTGAGTTTGTGGACAGGTGTCTTTTATATAGGTAACGAGTTAAAACAGGTGTAGTTAATACAGGTAATGAGTGGAGAACAGGAGGGCTTCTTAAAGAAAAACTAACAGGTCTTTGAGAGCCGGAATTCTTACTGGTTGGTAGGTGATCAAATACTTACGTCATGCAATAAAATGCAAATTAATTACTTAAAAATCATACAATGTGATTTTCTGGATTGCTGTTTTAGATTCCGTCTCTCACAGTTGAAGTGTACCTATGATAAAAATTACAGACCTCTACATGCTTTGTAAGTAGGAAAACCTGCAAAATCTGCAGTTTATCAAATACTTGTTCTCCCCACTGTAGATACTGGATTATTATATCTATCCATTTGGACAGCAGTCTTTGGTAGTTGAGGTGTATTGTAACTGGTGTGTTGCTGTGTTGTGGATTCATACATATTTCTGTCATTATTTTGATAGTGTCATGATGGATTATGTGTTAACTTGTGATAGATGAGGTCAGTTGTAACTGGTGTGTGATGATAATGTTCTCTTGTCTCTGGTATAGAAAACAAGGAATCTCCTCTGGGTAAGGTGGTGAAGGAGTATCATGATGTCAGCACCCTGGAGTCTCTCCACTGTAAAGCCTCTGGCCTGGTGTCGAACAGGCATCATGATGTCAGCACCCTGGAGTCTCTCCACTGTAAAGCCTCTGGCCTGGTGTCGAACAGGCATCATGATGTCAGTAGTCTGGTGTCTAACAGGCATCATGATGTCAGTAGTCTGGTGTCTAACATCACAGAACAGGCCTCTACTCTAAGGGACCTCCTGACTACCACCGCTGGTAAACTACGTCTGGGCTCTACTGATGCTGGCATGGCCTTCGCTCCTGTATACTCCACCGCAGCACAGGTACGTGGCTGGGACAGAGAGACACACACAGTACACCATTATCTTCCTGTATGGTGGGAATAAAATGATGGGATCCCTTAACACACAGCTGGTCCACACACCTGGTCTCTCTCATAGACTGATGGGATCCCTTAACACACAGCTGGTCCACACCCCTGGTCTCTCTCATAGACTGATGGGATCCCTTAACACACAGCTGGTCCACACCCCTGGTCTCTCTCATAGACTGATGGGATCCCTTAACACACAGTTGGTCCACACACCTGGTCTCTCTCATAGACTGATGGGATCCCTTAACACACAGCTGGTCCACACACCTGGTCTCTCTCATAGACTGATGGGATCCCTTAACACACAGCTGGTCCACACACCTGGTCTCTCTCATAGACTGATGGGATCCCTTAACACACAGTTGGTCCACACACCTGGTCTCTCTCATAGACTGATGGGATCCCTTAACACACAGCTGGTCCACACCCCTGGTCTCTCTCATAGACTGATGGGATCCCTTAACACACAGCTGGTCCACACACCTGGTCTCTCTCATAGACTGATCAGATCCCTTAACACACAGCTGGTCCACACCCCTGGTCTCTCTCATAGACTGATGGGATCCCTTAACACACAGCTGGTCCACACCCCTGGTCTCTCTCATAGACTGATGGGATCTTCTCTGATGTATATCATGATGTTGTATTATTTCTCCATACTGATCCATACGTTCTAATGCTATATCTCCTCTCTCCAGACGGGGAAGAGTGGCCGTAGCATGCCCAACATCCTGGATGACATCATAGCATCCGTGGTTGAGAACAAAATCCCTGCCAGCCGAGGAGCCAAGCTGAGTCTGAAGCTGGAGGCGACCAGCACAACTACAGAGGAGAGGGAGATGAAGACCGAGAGGAAGAAGCAGCCTGGGACTGGGACAGGTCCTAACCTTAACACTGGGACTGGGACAGGTCCTAACCCTAACACCGGGACTGGGACAGGTCCTAACCTGAACACTGGGACTGGGACAGGTCCTAACCCGAACACTGGGACTGGGACAGGTCCTAACACTGGGACTGGGACAGGTCCTAACCCGAACACTGGGACTGGGACAGGTCCTAACACTGGGACTGGGACAGGTCCTAACCCGAACACTGGGACTGGGACAGGTCCTAACCCGAACACTGGGACTGGGACAGGTCCTAACCCGAACACTGGGACTGGGACAGGTCCTAACCCGAACACTGGGACTGGGACAGGTCCTAACCCGAACACTGGGACTGGGACAGGTCCTAACCCGAACACTGGGACAGAGGAGCCTCCTGTAGCCAAGCTAGAGAAGACCCTGCAGCTCCACGCTGACATCCCCCACTGCTGGTTGTATGAACGCAGACTGCTCTGGCTCAAAGACCACCGACACCCTGGCAACAGGAAGCTGTTCAGAGAGTGTTGGAGACAGGGACAGGTCAGTTAGTCTCTAGTTCCTCCGTCACTAGTTTCATCTCCAGTGCTGTTAGTGGTAAGATAATTTATTAACTAACTATTTCAGTGTCTTTCTGGGCATCCCCTGAAACCCACTGCCCTCTAACGGCAACCCAAACCTTACTATTCCTGTTTTGGGGTGGGTCGTTCCTTCTACCGCTAGGGCCACGTTCCTCTGTGTTCATGGCCTGTATACATCTAAGGTCGCTGGGGCCCCTTCATTCCCTGCCAATAGATTAGGTAAGGCTATCAGTGGGTACTGGCCCCCTCCTACTCTCATCTCCTGACTCATACTGACTCCCTCCTGAGCTCAGCTCCTAACTGGACCATTTGTTGTGGGGTTCCAGTCTCCTCAGGGGCCTGGGTCTTCCCCCCTTCGGTCCCTTGACCCCCCTATTGAACCCTAGTACTCTAGTTACTTTCTTAGCCTTCTCTTTCCGTCTCTCTCTCTCTCTTTCTAATTTCTGCAATGACCAATTGGGTTGCTGCTGTTGTTCCAAAAATGTTGTTAGAACCTCAACTGTACTATCTTCCTTTGCCTTATCCTCAACCCCCCTCTGTGCTCCCTCAGCTTCCCCTTGGTTCTGGTAAGGGGGTGGAAACTCCAAAACGGCAGCCTGCTGTGGCACCCTTCCCCTCACCACCCCTACCTAATTGTCTGGATTATCCCTCCAGGCCTAATCTGCCAAGGAGGGGTATAATCTGGATCCAACCCGTTCTACAGGGGGAGCTGTGGGTTCTATCTTAGACCTTCCTTTCTGACTTCCTTTTTCCTTCTCTGACCCTCCTCTCTCTTTCGAGACTCAGAGGGCCACACCTTGGCTGTATCTAGCCCTCTCTTTTCTGTTTCTTTAGATCATTACCACAATTTACATGCATTTTTTAAATCATGGATTCCAGTTTAATTACATCAAGTCGCCCAGTAAAGCCATATTTCTTTCTCCAATTAGGTCCATAATACACATTTCGTTTGTCTCGCATTTCCATGTATTTCTCGTCCCCAGTAAATTCTGGGACCTCTTGTGAGGATTTGCCCCCCATGGTTGGTACTGTTAAAAATCCCTTAGCCACCTCTTCTATATAACAAGTACAACACCTGGAATCACCCCTCCCTGTATAGGTAGTCTTGACTAGTCCCCCAGAATTATCTCATAACGTTACAGAGGAATTTATCCCCTCAAATGTAATCTTGACAATTCCTGACAGTCTCATACAACAGAAATGGGTTCTCCCTCTCCTAGTGATCTAAACCGTCCAAATGTACTCAGTTATATTAACCTTGTCTTCACACATTACTTTCACTGTATTTCTTTATCACAGGTTATTTTGTTGACTGTTCTATAATCTACTACAGGTTCTCTGAATACAGGGTCGTTTCTTTTGGTAATGGCCTATTACCGTGAATCGTTACGGACCCACCAACATTTCACTTTAAATTGGCTACGCATTGATCAATTTGCTACTTTAAATTATGACGTTTAACCTTCAGTCAATATTTTAGCAAGTTCTCAAATCAATTTTACCAAGTAATGAATAAAGACTACCGACCTTTTCCTTGCAGCCGAGATTCAATGTAGGTTTGGATTCCGTCACCGTCTCTGTCATTAATCAGGTGTCCTCTGGCCTGTTTTAACCCTTAATGTCAAAGGGCAGGACTTTCTATTTACGAATGTATCATTCGCCCGTCGACGGTTTTCAGAGTTACCTGGAATGACAGAGGCAGGTATTGGAATCCTGCTCGAAGGACCAAGCTGTTAAGAGAATGTATTAACTAACTATTTCAGTGTCTCTGTGCGTCTCCCAAAAGGTTGTAAGGCTTTTGGATCAGAAACGGACAGAGTCCCAGTCTGCAATAGTCAGAGATCTTTATTCATTGAGAATTCTGCCACAAAATGGTCGTACATATTTTTATACGCACACGTCATACGAAAATCCCACCCCTCTGTAGGCGGGCTGTAGTTTTCCATTTTAAAACTGCTCTCCTGACCATCAGTTCACACACACACACACACATACACATACATGTTCTTATCATAGTCTCTCTACTCCCTTCATTCCTCAGTTATCGCCGTTCTCACAATATTCTGCTCCATGTTTAACAGTTCTCCTTCTTCTTTGCCGTCCGGTCTAACTCCTCCTCACGTTGCTAAATAGTAACACAATGTCATAATCTTTACTGGTCCTACACTCACACATTACCAGGTAGTAGATTCTAACACATCTCACATAGTTTCGGAGTGTAATAATTAGTCACTACTAAGAAAGTACTAATTACATTTACATTTTAGTCATTTAGCAGACGCTCTTATCCAGAGCGACTTACAGTTAGTGAGTGCATACATTTTTATTTTTTTTCATACTGTAATACAAAATGGTTATTGCATATATGACTCTACATACACACACACACACCATAGATAGAGCACATAGGTATGACTACACACAGGCACACAAACCACAGGTGACTGGTTGTACTTTAATTGGGGAAGACCAGCTCATAGTAATGGCTGGAACCGAGTGTAATCTAATCAAAGAAAACAAGAACATTTCACAACTATATTTAAGGGTGGAACATTTAGTCATTACTTTTAACCTGTATATATTTTAATTTCTATATCAGTTAGTTGGTGGAGAAGTGGAGATACACTGCATGTTGAATATTTGTCCTACTGCACCACTGTGTGCAGTACTCATTGTTGCTATGTCTCTGACTGGGCTGTATATAGAGCAGCTGTGGAGACTGGGCTGTATAGAGAGGAGACTGGGCTGTATAGAGAGGAGACTGGGCTGTATATAGAGCAGCTGTGGAGACTGGGCTGTATAGAGAGGAGACTGGGCTGTATAGAGAGGAGACTGGGCTATATAGAGAGGAGACTGGGCTGTATAGAGAGGAGACTGGGCTGTATAGAGAGGAGACTGGGCTGTATAGAGAGGAGACTGGGCTGTATAGAGAGGAGACTGGGCTGTATAGAGAGGAGACTGGGCTGTATAGAGAGGAGACTGGGCTGTATAGAGAGGAGACTGGGCTGTATAGAGAGGAGACTGGGCTGTATAGAGAGGAGACTGGGCTGTATAGAGAGGAGACTGGGCTGTATAGAGAGGAGACTGGGCTGTATAGAGAGGAGACTGGGCTGTATAGAGAGGAGACTGGGCTGTATAGAGAGGAGACTGGGCTGTATAGAGAGGAGACTGGGCTGTATAGAAGGAGACTGGGCTGTATAGAGAGGAGACTGGGCTGTATAGAGAGGAGACTGGGCTGTATATAGAGCAGCTGTGGAGACTGGGCTGTATAGAGAGGAGACTGGGCAGTATAGAGAGGATACTGGGCTGTATATAGAGCAGCTGTGGAGACTGGGCTGTATAGAGAGGAGACTGGGCTGTATAGAGAGGAGACTGGGCTGTATAGAGAGCAGCTGTGGAGACTGGGCTGTATAGAGAGGAGACTGGGCTGTATAGAGAGGAGACTGGGCTGTATAGAGAGGAGACTGGGCTGTATAGAGAGCAGCTGTGGAGACTGGGCTGTATAGAGAGGAGACTGGGCTGTATAGAAAGGAGACTGGGCTGTATAGAGAGGAGACTGGGCTGTATAGAAAGGAGACTGGGCTGTATAGAGAGGAGACTGGGCTGTATAGAGAGGAGACTGGGCTGTATAGAGAGGAGACTGGGCTGTATAGAGAGGAGACTGGGCTGTATAGAGAGGAGACTGGGCTGTATAGAGAGCAGCTGTGGAGACTGGGCTGTATAGAGAGGAGACTGGGCTGTATAGAGAGGAGACTGGGCTGTATAGAGAGGAGACTGGGCTGTATAGAGAGGAGACTGGGCTGTATAGAGAGGAGACTGGGCTGTATAGAGAGGAGACTGGGCTGTATAGAGAGGGGACTGGGCTGTATAGAGAGGAGACTGGGCTGTATAGAGAGGAGACTGGGCTGTATAGAGAGGAGACTGGGCTGTATAGAGAGGAGACTGGGCTGTATAGAGAGGAGACTGGGCTGTATAGAGAGGAGACTGGGCTGTATAGAGAGGAGACTGGGCCGTATAGAGAGGAGACTGGGATGTATAGAGAGGAGACTGGGCTGTATAGAGAGGAGACTGGGCTGTATAGAGAGGAGACTGGGCTGTATAGAGAGGAGACTGGGCTGTATAGAGAGCAGCTGTGGAGACTCGGCTCTCTTTAGTCTCTCAGCCTTTGTTCCGTCTCGGCCAGCTGACACGGGGCTATTCTCTCCTACTCTCTCAGCCTTTGTTCCGTCTCGGCCAGCTGACACGGGGCTATTCTCTCCTCTACTCTCTCAGCCTTTGTTCCGTCTCGGCCAGCTGACACGGGGCTATTCTCTCCTATTCTCTCAGCCTTTGTTCCGTCTCGGCCAGCTGACACGGGGCTATTCTCTCCTACTCTCTCAGCCTTTGTTCCGTCTCGGCCAGCTGACACGGGGCTATTCTCTCCTACTCTCTCAGCCTTTGTTCCGTCTCGGCCAGCTGACACGGGGCTATTCTCTCCTACTCTCTCAGCCTTTGTTCCGTCTCGGCCAGCTGACACGGGGCTATTCTCTCCTACTCTCTCAGCCTTTGTTCCGTCTCGGTCAGCTGACACGGGGCTATTCTCTCCTCTACTCTCTCAGCCTTTGTTCCGTCTCGGCCAGCTGACACGGGGCTATTCTCTCCTACTCTCTCAGCCTTTGTTCCGTCTCGGTCAGCTGACACGGGGCTATTCTCTCCTACTCTCTCAGCCTTTGTTCCGTCTCGGCCAGCTGACACGGGGCTTTTCTCTCCTCTACTCTCTCAGCCTTTGTTCCGTCTCGGTCAGCTGACACAGGGCTATTCTCTCCTACTCTCTCAGCCTTTGTTCCGTCTCGGTCAGCTGACACGGGGCTATTCTCTCCTACTCTCTCAGCCTTTGTTCCGTCTCGGCCAGCTGACACGGGGCTTTTCTCTCCTCTACTCTCTCAGCCTTTGTTCCGTCTCGGTCAGCTGACACAGGGCTATTCTCTCCTACTCTCTCAGCCTTTGTTCCGTCTCGGCCAGCTGACACGGGGCTATTCTCTCCTACTCTCTCAGCCTTTGTTCCGTCTCGGTCAGCTGACACAGGGCTATTCTCTCCTACTCTCTCAGCCTTTGTTCCGTCTCGGCCAGCTGACACGGGGCTATTCTCTCCGCTACTCTCTCAGCCTTTGTTCCGTCTCGGCCAGCTGACACGGGGCTATTCTCTCCTACTCTCTCAGCCTTTGTTCCGTCTCGGTCAGCTGACACGGGGCTATTCTCTCCGCTACTCTCTCAGCCTTTGTTCCGTCTCGGCCAGCTGACACGGGGCTATTCTCTCCTACTCTCTCAGCCTTTGTTCCGTCTCGGCCAGCTGACACGGGGCTATTCTCTCCTACTCTCTCAGCCTTTGTTCCGTCTCGGCCAGCTGACACGGGGCTATTCTCTCCTACTCTCTCAGCCTTTGTTCCGTCTCGGTCAGCTGACACGGGGCTATTCTCTCCTCTACTGCTCCTCCTGCTATCTTCTGCTGCTCTGTGCTCTACTGTCAGCACCCTTCCTTCATATTGATCTGTTGGTAACGTTATTCTCTGTGTTGTCACCAGCCTGTGTTGCTGTCTGTTAGTAACGTTATTCTCTGTGTTGTCACCAGCCTGTGTTGCTGTCTGTTAGTAATATTATTCTCTGTGTTGTCACCAGCCTGTGTTGCTGTCTGTTAGTAACGTTATTCTCTGTGTTGTCACCAGCCTGTGTTGCTGTCTGTTAGTAACGTTATTCTCTGTGTTGTCACCAGCCTGTGTTGCTGTCTGTTAGTAATGTTATTCTCTGTGTTGTCACCAGCCTGTGTTGCTGTCTGTTAGTAATATTATTCTCTTTGTTGTCACCAGCCTGTGTTGCTGTCTGTTAGTAATGTTATTCTCTGTGTTGTCACCAGCCTGTGTTGCTGTCTGTTAGTAACGTTATTCTCTGTGTTGTCACCAGCCTGTGTTGCTGTCTGTTAGTAACGTTATTCTCTGTGTTGTCACCAGCCTGTGTTGCTGTCTGTTAGTAATATTATTCTGTGTGTTGTCACCAGCCTGTGTTGCTGTCTGTTAGTAACGTTATTCTCTGTGTTGTCACCAGCCTGTGTTGCTGTCTGTTAGTAACGTTATTCTCTGTGTTGTCACCAGCCTGTGTTGCTGTCTGTTAGTAACGTTATTCTCTGTGTTGTCACCAGCCTGTGTTGCTGTCTGTTAGTAATATTATTCTCTTTGTTGTCACCAGCCTGTGTTGCTGTCTGTTAGTAATATTATTCTCTGTGTTGTCACCAGCCTGTGTTGCTGTCTGTTAGTAACGTTATTCTCTGTGTTGTCACCAGCCTGTGTTGCTGTCTGTTAGTAATATTATTCTCTGTGTTGTCACCAGCCTGTGTTGCTGTCTGTTAGTAATGTTATTCTCTGTGTATTCTCATCAATGTGATGGCTCAGTGCAGTCATGTATGACAGCATGTCCATAGACGTCCGTGGTGTCTGAGAGCTCGTGCTTTGTACTTCTCCATCCAGGCCGTCAGTTTTTCGACATGGCATGTTGTAGTCTGGTTGTAGACATGCCATCAGGGCAGTGAAGCCGACGTCCTCTACCGTTGATAATGGCTGCATATCCACTCCAATCCTCCTCTACCGTTGATAATGGCTGCATATCCACTCCAATCCTCCTCTACCGTTGATAATGGCTGCATATCCACTCCAATCCTCCTCTACCGTTGATAATGGCTGCATATCAACTCCAATCCTCCTCTACCGTTGATAATGGCTGCATATCCACTCCAATCCTCCTCTACCGTTGATAATGGCTGCATATCAACTCCAATCCTCCTCTACCGTTGATAATGGCTGCATATCCACTCCAATCCTCCTCTACCGTTGATAATGGCTTCATATCAACTCCAATCCTCCTCTACCGTTGATAATGGCTGCATATCAACTCCAATCCTCCTCTACCGTTGATAATGGCTGCATATCAACTCCAATCCTCCTCTACCGTTGATAATGGCTGCATATCAACTCCAATCCTTTCTGTAATCAGCGCTGTGATTTTCTTACTTCCTCCCTCATTGTATTGCTGCCAACAACAGGTTGGGTGTCATGGTGACTCCCTTTCAGATGGTTACGCATTTCACCTGTACTGCCATTGCAGCTCAATTCCACCTTGCAAAGTTTGCATTTATTTCACCACCTTCTCATCTAACTTCTCAAAGTATTGCCATACAGGCCTAGGCTGCTGTTTCTTCCCAATGTCACTCTCTGCCATGTTTCCAACCGTTAACGACCATGACGTACGGAGCGCTTTATATCCGTGGGAAATCATTTGAAAAGATGCATATCTCGTCCTACTAACGTGTCCCTTTATGATGATGATGATCAGGACGTTTTGTGATAACTACACTGTCATTTTTTATTTTGTAAAAAATAAAATCCTGATGTCGTTAGAACGTTGAAATGTTAACCCAACTACTGTACTGGGTTGTATTCTCCAGCCTGTCCTGGTGTCCGGGCTCCATAAGCCTCTGAATGCAGCTCTGTGGAAGGCTGAGAGCTTCAACCAGGAGTTTGCTGACCACCAGGGAGACCTGCTCAACTGTAAAGATGGAGTTATCTCTAACTCTGGAATCAAGGAGTTCTGGGACGGCTTCGAGGACCTCACCAGTGAGTAGCCTTTATAATGTATCAGGTTATTGATCGAGGACCTCACCAGTGAGTAGCCTTAATAATGTATCTGGTTATTGATCGAGGACCTCACCAGTGAGTAGCCTTAATAATGTATCTGGTTATTGATCGAGGACCTCACCAGTGAGTAGCCTTTATAATGTATCTGGTTATTGATAATAATAGTATAGAGTATTCATATTATTAGTAATAATAATAGATTATTAATAATTAAGTGTATTGATTATATACACTGAGTATACCAAACATTAGGAACACCTTCCTCATATTGAGTTGCACCCCCCCTTTTGCCCTCAGAACAGCCTCAATTCATCGAAGCATGGACTCTACAAGGTGTCGAATGCATTCCACAGGGATGCTGGCCCATGTTGACTCCAATGCTTCCCACCATTGTGTCAAGTTGGCTGGATGTCCTTTGGGTGGTGGACCATTCTTGATATACAGTGCATTCTGAAAAATTATTCAGACCCCTTGACTTTTTCCACATTTTGTTACGTTACAGCCTTATTCTAAAATGGATTAAATAAATAAAAATCCTCATAAATCTATACACAATACCCCATAATGACAAAGTGAAAACAGGTTTTTAGACATTTTTGCAAATGTATTAAAAATAAAAAACAGATACCTTATTTACATAAGTATTCAGACCCTTTGCTATGAGACTCTAAATTGAGGTCAGGTGCACCCTGTTTCCATTGATCATCCTTGAGATGTTTCTACAACTTGATTGGAGTCCACCTGTGGTAAATTCAATTGATTGGACATGATTTGGAAAGGCACACACCTGTCTATATAAGGTCCCACAGTTGACAGTGCATGTTAGAGCAAAAACCAAGCCATGAGGTCGAAGGAATTGTCCGTAGACCTCCGAGACAGGATTGTGTTGAGGCACAGATCTGGGGAAGGGTACCAAAACATTTCTGCAGCATTGAAGGTCCCCAAGAACACAGTGGCCTCCATCATTCTTAAATGGAAGAAGTTTGGAACCACCAAGACTCTTCCTAGAGCTGGCCGCACTGCCAAACTGAGCAATCGGGGGAGAAGGGCCTTGGTCAGGGAGGTGACCAAGAACCCGATGGTCACTCTGACAGAGCTCCAGAGTTCCTCTGTGGAGATGGGAGAAACTTCCAGAAGGACAACCATCTCTGCAGCACTCCACCAATCAGGCCTTTATGGTAGAGTGGCCAGACGGAAGCCACTCCTCAGTAAAAGGCACATGTCAGCCCGTTTGGAGTTTGCCAAAAGGCACCTAAAAGGACTCTCAGACCATGAGAAACAAGATTCTCTGGTCTGATGAAACCAAGATTGAACTCTTTGGCCTGAATGCCAAGTGTCATGTCTGGAGGAAACCTGGCAACATCCCTACGGTGAAGCATGGTGGTGGTTTTTCAGCGGCAGGGACTGGGAGACTAGGATCGAGGTAAAAAAGATGAACGGAGCAAAGTACAGAGATGAAAATCTGCTCCAGAACGGGGGGGGGAGCTTCACCTTCCAACAGCACAAGTCAACGCAGGAGTGTCTTCGGGACATGTCTCTGAATGTCCTTGAGTGGCCCAGCCAGAGCCCGGACTTGAACCTGATCGAACATCTCTGGAGAGACCTGAGCAGCAACGCTCCCCATCCAACCTGACAGAGCTTGAGAGGATCTGCAGAGAAGAATGGGAGAAACTCCTCAAATACAGGTGTGCCAAGCTTGTAGCGTCATACCCAAGAAGACTCAAGGCTGTAATCGCTGCCAAAGGTGCTTCAAGAAAGTACTGAGTAAATGGTCTGAATACTTATGTAAATGTGATATTTCAATGTTTTATTTGTAATACATTTGCAAAAAAAAATTGTTTTTGCTTTGTCATTATGGGTTATTCTGTGTATATTGATGAGGGGAAAAAACTATTTGCGGTAGATTTCATTTTAGAATAAGGCTGTAACTTAACAGAATGTGGAAAAAGTAAAGGGGTCTGAATACTTTCCGAATGCACTGTTCAAGGGGAACTGTTGAGCGTGAAAAACCCAGCAGTTTTGCAGTTCTTGACACAAACTGATGCGCCTGGCACCTACTACCATACCCCGTTAGAAAGGCACTTAAATATTGTTTCTTGCCCATTCACCCTCTGAATGGCGCACACATCACAGTATTTTTCACATTTTTAATGGTATTTGACGGTATTTTATGTTTTTGAATAATAAAAGTTCTAAATTCGCTTTATGAGTCGTGCGTGACCCTAGGGTGGCAACGCATACATTCTAAGGGATTTCAATGGGTCTTTCTCCATTCTAATTGTTTTACACTGTACAATTCAACTTCAACCCCCCTAGTTACGTTTGCTCTGACACATTACATTTATTAGCTAGCTAGCCAGCTAACTAGCGAGTAGCATTAGCGGCTAACAGGATTTAGGCCCAACTTATTAAGAAAAGACAAACTAGCTGTTTGCAGATGTAAGAAACACAAACTAATAGTGTAATTAAAGAACACTAGTGGGCTTATATTAAGAAGCAAAGTGGGAACAGCATCGTTGTCATCAACATTGTTGCTTATGCTGCAGTGACATTGCAGACTGAATGCAAGTGTCTCGTGGTCAAGCAACAACAAATATGCTCCTTGAGTGACGGGGGTTGGGCTAAGTCTGTGTGGGGCTAGGTCTGTGTCGAAAGCGGCATGGAGAGAAATGACTCAATTAGCGGAGTGAACTAAAAAAATTGACGTTATACACAGCGTATCACATTTAACAAACCAAACATTCAAATACCTTTAAAGAAGGTGTCATGACTGTCCTGGGAGGATCCAAAATGAGTCAGATCAGGTTTGCACTGGGAGCTTCAACCAGACCCCCTCCCACCCGCAGAGGGAACTGTGGGGTTTTGACACCTCACAGCCTGTTGGAAATCAAGGATTAGACCTTTCAGCTACATCCCTCTCCAAATCAACACAGGAATGTTCCTTTGTCCACAGAGACTTTTCCTGCCGAAACTCTTAACACGTTCTAAAGCGAATATTGGAAAAATATTCCTAACGGAGAATGTGGGGAATGGTCAGAGGCGAGCTAAAGAATCATCGTTTCATATGGGTTGTTATTTTGTAATGTCATTAAAACTGTTATAAAGTAAATACTGTAACTTGAAAAGTATATACACTACATGTACGAAGTCTCCATTCTTTACGTTGTATATGAAATATAAAAAGTGACAAAAGTATTTTTGTTAAGATAGGAATGTGATTTTATGAGCCATGAGATAATTTGTCTCCTATAAACTTTTGCACAGTAAGTAGCCACGCCCCGAGTGAGGTCAGAGGGTGTGTCAGCCTGACGGAACCGTCCCTTTCGACCAGAGTTCATAAAAGCTTGGTAGAGAAATGAACCTTTAGACCAGAAAGACGTGAAGCAGCCGCTACATGTTAACAATGGTTGGAACATATGAGACCAGAAGGACGACGAGCTGCTGCTCACGTTCAAAGTGCGTTTAACCCTGAATCAACACGAGGTAGAGACGACAAGCCACCTCCCCGACAATCACTGGTACGGCTGATTAGCTGTTCTGAGCAAAGTATCTAGAAAAGCGAATTTAAGCGGGACCATCCTACTAAGCTACTCTCATCACCCCACTGGGGACCATCAACACAGCTGGCTAGCCTCTCTTCAAATACGCAACTTCAAGAGCGACAGGAAGAAGAATCTATTCTGCAGGACTACATGACAAGTCATTGGAGCCACGGACAGCTAAGAAGAAGGACATGGTGACCTCTTGTGAACAATCAGAGCCTTACAGCCTCTGGAAGCAACGTCAGCACAAGAACTGTTCGTTGGGAGCTTTATGAAATTATTTTCCATGGCAAAGCAGCCGCACACAAGCCTAAGATCACCATGTGCAATCCCAAGCGTCGGCTGGAGTGGTGTAAAGCTCGCCGCCATTGGACTCTGGAGCAGAGGAAACACGTTCTCTGGAGTGCTGAATCAAGCTTCACCATCATGCAGTCCGACGGACAAATCTGGGTTTGGCGGAAGCCAGGAGAACGCTACCTGCCTCAATGCATAGTCCCAACTGTCAAGTTTGGTGGAGGAGGAATAATGGTCTGGGGCTGTTTTTCATTGTTCGGGCTAGGCCCCTTAGTTCCAGTGAAGGGAAATCTTAACGCTACAGCATGCAATGACATTCTATACGATTCTGTGCTTCCAACTTTGTGGCAACAGTTTCAGCAAGACAATGCCCTCGTGCACAAAGCAAGGTCCATACAGAAATGGTTTGTCGAGATCGGTGTGCAAGAACTTAACTTGCCTGCACAGAGCTCTGGACCTCAACCTCATAGAACACCTTTGGGATGCATTGGAACGCCGACTGCGAACAAGGCCTAATCGCCCAACATCAGTGCCCGACCTCACTGGCTGAATGGAAGCAAGTCCCTATAGCAATGTTCCAACATCTAGTGGAAAGCCTTCCCAGAAGAGTGGAGGCTGTTATAGCAGCAAAGGGGGGACCAACTCTATATTAATGGCCATGAGATGTTCAACGAGCAGGTGTC